AATCATGGGAACATTGTGCCCAAAAGGTACCACTGTCCACCCNGTGGTGTGGGGATGGTGGGTTTTGAGGATGTGATTGATGTGTTCAGAGGGCGTGAGTTGGATTCGATTCGATTCGATTCGATTATTCTGATCGATCGATTGATTAGTCGATTATGCAAATTCTTTGACTAATTATTTGATCTCATTAAAGAGATAAACACAGCAATATCTCAATTCAAGAGATACTCAAAAGCGGCTTATCAGTTTCGACAGGGGTGCAATTGCACTTGGCCTTATAACCTTATGTAGGTAGCCGACGGACGATTCTTCGCCGTCAGAAGAACACTCCGCTTTTGATGGGGGCAATTTCCCGCCGTCATGGGAAACAAATACTGCGACAGAGGAATTACCCCCAATCATGGGAACATTGTGCCCAAAAGGTACCACTGTCCACCCGAATGATTTCGCTAAAATGAAAGTGTTGAAGATCTGGCGACACGGCGATCGCTCGCCGAACCGATGGATCGACAAATTGTCGTACAATAAAAAATACTTTCCAGACGAAAAAGGCTCTTTAACGGAGGTGATTTTTGTGTTGTTTAGTTATTATTTATTATTATATTTATTATTATTTATTATATTTATTATTATTATTTATTATTAGTATATTTAATATTGTATTTATTATTTATTATTACATATTATTGTTTACAGTTGGGCTATGCGCAAGCGATTGAATTAGGTAAAAGAATACGTAAACGCTATTTTGAACATTCCAATTTCACAGCCGAACAGGTATTTTATCATTATTTATTATTTATTATTGTTATTATTTATTATTGTTATTATTATTAATTATAATTATTTATTGTAATTAACAATAATAAAGGTGTTTATACGAAGTACAAATATGTCACGTACGATCCGTACAGCCGAAGGCGTATTGCACTCGTTGGGAATGCCGAATGCCAAGATTACGGTAGAGGCGGACATGGACAACGATACGGTATGTGTTGGTTAGGGTGGGCTGGTGTTACCGTAGTCCGTTGTGCGTATTTGGCGGGAAATTTGAGTGTTTTAGCGGGAAATTGAGTATTTGGCGGGAAATTTGAATGTTTTAGCGGGAAATTGAGTATTTGGCGGGAAAATCGGGGATTTGGCGGGAATTAACGGGAAAATTAGTTTCGATGAAATGTTTTGATGTGAGAAAAGAGTATTTCAGGTGGGTAATCCGTTATTCGAGTGTCCAGCAGCGAATCGAATGGTTGAGGAGTGGGGCGATAGGTATCTGATGAAGGAACATTTTAATGTGCGTTTTTATTTTTTGTGGTCATTTTTATTTTTATTATTTTTAATTGTTATTTATTATTAATTGTTGCTTATTATTATTATTTATTTATTTTTGTTGTTGTTATTTATCATTACTAATGATTATTATGTTTGAAAATAAATTCATGTCTGAACAATCTTATTGAATTATAATAATAATAATAATAATAACAATAATAATAACAACAACAATAATAAATATTCATAGTAATGAATGTAATAAATAAGATAATTATATTGTTTACAGTATACTTATGGAAGATTGGAACGTGAGTTAAATTTCACGGGTTATACGTATCCGTTATTAGATTTAATTGATTGTTTGGTATGTGTTCTTATTATTGTTATTATTATGCATAATATTAAATAATAATATATAATATTAAATAATATCGATTAATAATAAATAATATAAAATGATAATTATTAATAATAAATAATAATTCAGAACGCGCACGATCTGATGGTGCCGGAATGGGCAAAGAATAATACATTAATAAGCATATTAAGAAGTTTGAGTTGGATGGGTATTAAGATGCAGTACGGTATTGAGCCGTTCGCTAATGAGTTGCTGAAGAAAATTAGAAGTATTATTTTTATTATTTATTATTATATTTATTATTATTTTTTTTATTTTATTTATTATTATTGTTATTTTTTTATTTATTATTGTATTTATTATTATCACATTTATTATTGTTTATTGTATTTATTACAGTAGTATTTACAGTTTTATCGTTGTAATATTGTTTATTATTATTTATTATTGTGTAATATTTATTGTTACATGTTTTCTTTATATTTTTGGTTATATTATTATTATTATTATTGTTTTATTTTGCAGTAATTTAGCTATTTTATTATGTAGTTATATACAGTGATATTTTTTGCTATATGTTATAAGTATATTTTTATTGTATATATTATTATATTTATTATTATTGTATATATTATTGTATTTATTATTGTTTTTATTGTATATATTATGTTTATTATTATTTTTATTATATATATTATTATATTTATTATTATTGTATATATTATTGTGTTTATTATTATTTTTATTGTATATATTATTATATTTATTATTATTGTATAAATTATTGTGTTTATTATTATTTTTATTGTATATATTATTATATTTATTATTATTGTATATATTATTGTTTATTATTATTTTTATTGTATATATTATATGTTTATTTCAGCCGGAAACATAGTGCGGAGTGTTGTGGAGGAAATGAGTGCGGTGATATTGAATCGGTTGAATTCAACGGAATGGATAATTAATAATACAAATAATAATAATAATAATATACATAAAAATATATTTAATAATATTAATATAAATAATGATTTCGATGATAATTATGGTGATAATAATAATAATAATAATAACAATACAATGGACATTGTTAATCCCGAAGATCTCTATTTTTATGGTCTTTCTGCGGTTTGTTTATTTTTATTATTGTTTGTTTATTTTTATTATATTTATTTATTATTATAGTTATTATTTATATATTAATTAGTAATTATTAGTGTGCAGCCAAGGTGTTGGTTAGGGCAGCCACGATTGATGAGGAAAATCGTACGGGATAACTTCGCCAAAGATTTGTGGGCGGGGCTAACGGCGATTACGGTAATAAAGCTCCGCCCACAAATCGCTGGCACGTTCGCACGATGCACTGACTTAATAGTAATAAAATGTGATAGGTAATTATATGAAATATAACTAATGAAATAATGTACATTTAAAATAACTAATATGAAATAAATAATAATAATATCTATAATATATAGTAATATATAATATATAAAATAATATATAATAATATAAATAATAACATAATACATACATATATAATACATAAT